TTTTTTTTTTTTTTGGTCTTTTTGAGAGAGGGTCTCCTGTAGTCCCAGCTATCCCAGAACCCACTTAGACCAGGCCAGCCTTGATGTTATAGAGATCTGCCCGCCTGTACCTCCTAAGTGCTGGGATTAAAGGCATGCACCACTATGCCTGGCTGGAAATTAATCCTTTGAAGGCCTAAGTCTCCTCTACACCTTTGAGAACTGCTCCATCACCAAAACATTAGATAAAACAGTACCCTGGTTGTTAGAACACAGATCCATCACACACTGAACACAGTGCTACATGACCCAGCACAGTTGTATCTTTACTGTGGAACTCACTCTGCAAGGAAATATTAATGAAAATGTTGCACTGTTGAGGTTTTAAAAAACATTTTATTATTTTATTTTCTGTGTATGATTGTATCACCTGCATGTATGTGAGTGTACCCGTGTTGTGCAATGCCTGCTGAGGTCAGGAGAGGGCATTGGGTCCCCTGGAACTGGAGTTATGGACGGTTGTTAGCCACCGTGTGGGGGCTGGGATTCAAACCCTGGTCCTCTATAAGAGCAGTCAGTGCTCTTAATTGCTGAGCCATCTTTCCAGCCCCTCTGTTGAGGTTTTTTAAAATCAGAACATTTGCTGTATTTCAAATTCCTCTAGTCACATGAAAATAGAGTCCAAATGGTTATTCTCTCATGCTTGGACTCTAACATCTTTCTGATCAGTGTCTCTTGATCTAGTCTCTTTTTTTTCTCCATTTTGGTATCCCAGATGCCCATATTTCAAAACCATGAAGTAAATACTTTCACTCTCCAGCATGATAGTTGTTCATGGTTTTATCAGTGCCAAAAGGTCCAGTCTCTGTAGCCTACAGGAGGCCCCATAGCCCACTGTTCATCCTCAAGGTAGTTACTATTTAACCTGCATTTTGAACATGTCAGTCTACTTAGTTCCTCCTAAAACTTCCTGTTGCAGCCTTCTTTGCTCATGTAAGGGACCTCTAATTGAGCTCCAGATCATTAATTGGTGAAACCCATGTACTCAGTGTTATAGGAACTTCTGCATGAATGAGTGAGAGAGGTGGAAATAGTGTATTATACTCCCCAAATCATCACAAGCCCCCCCAAATAACCCATAGTCCAAGTAAAAATTGTGTGCTTGATGCTGGGGGTGGTGGCACATGCCTTTAATCCCAGCACTCGGACAGGAGGCAGAGGCAGGCAGATCTCAGTGAGTTCAAGGCCAGCCTGGTCTCCATAATGAATCCAGGACAGCTGGGGCTACAGGGAGACCCTGTCTAAAAAGCCAAAAAAAAAAAAGGTGTGCTTGACAAACACATGTAATTTTCCCTCAATATTGCTCCATTCTGTTATAGAAATTCTAAGCTCCCAGTGTCCTTCATCTATGAAAACTTTGGAGTTGCCTCCACAGTTTAACTGCAAAGGGGAACTGCTCCTCATCCATGCTGCAAACGTTTTTGTTTCTGTAGCTGTTACAGCATTTGATTTGTTAAAGAATGGAATGCTGACTTGTGCAGCTTTGTGTGGTTGACTTCTTACTGTCATTCGTTGAAGACAAGAAGTATTTAGTATTCATTTCTGCATCCCTGAACTTTGCAGAGTGCTCACTGGAGAGCCACAGCATGATTTTTTAAAATAATTGAATAAGTGAATAATTCTCAATGTACTAGAAATTCTGTAATTGTAGGAATGGATACCCTGTGAAATATAGCATAAGAACTGCAACTGTTACATCGTCAAAAGTAGAATTTAACTGATTTACCTTGTTAATATGTTTGTCAATATCCTTTTAAAAGTTTTCTATAGTAATACTATTTTTTCTTTGCCCTTGACTTCTATGATTATCAGAACTATGTTCTTATTTTACATTTTTATATTGTATCTGCAACCTACTCACCTCTACTTAATATGCTTCATAGACTGCAAATCCAAAATTTCTATCTACTCTAACCAGGAGCATTTAATACTTTGCTTGACTCTTCCTGCTTAAATTTGATCTCACTGACCTTTAAAATATCCAATTAAAGTGACATTGGAAATTAATGTTTTACATTTTTACCTTTCTCAATATAGATAGCCACTAAAGATAACATACTACATATGAATATTAAAAATAAGATGACTGCCTCTGCAGACCAGAAATAGAGCAGAGGTGTAAAATAAAATGTCCATCCACACCAAAGTCTTGACCAGAAAGATGTGGATGCAGGATCTCACCTGTTTTGGTGGTGAGATGGGACCTAAAAGATTCTGACCCACGGTGGGCAGATGAAAGCAATAGGTCCTCCGTGAAAGAAGCTTTGGCAAGAACTGATGCAGGAGCATGAGCTTTGGCAGCCTAAGGGGAAGGAAGCACATCTCACTAAACACCAGAGCTGAAGGGGAAGGCAAACTCACTCACTGAATTCAAACTATTCAGAATTTAGAAACTATATCTACTTAGCCATAAATGTGACTCTGGAAAACGGAGGGGCCAAGACATCAAAAATGCTCCTTTGAGAAGTCTGGACTCCACAGAGTCTTAGAAGAGGCAACAACAGAACCATTTCAGTGAAAAAGGTAGTCAGGGAGAAACAGAATGGATAGAAAAACAAATGCTTTCTATTCAAGATCAGCCTGAATCTAAAACATCAAGAAAATAGCAAACATAGATCTTAAAATAAAAAATGTGATTTTAATATATGAATCTGATCCAAAGTAATGATTGGTAAGTGATTTTGAATGAGTGTGTTAGGATCATGAAAAATATGAAGGAGTAATGAGCAAGTTACGGCACTGCAGGCCATCCTACAAATTGTGTCCCCATTTCATCTGTTTACTTTTGAAAAGCTTCTCTGACATGCAGTTTATATACCATAAAGTTTTTCTGCTTAAACTGTACACTTTGATGGGTTTTAGTATGTTTATATAGTTGTGTAATGTTCACTATAACCTAATTTTAGAGCATTTTCATTGTCCCCAAAGGAAACCTTATGCTTAACAGTAGTAGCTATCCTTTCTCCCCTTCTTGAGCACTAGGTAACCATGAATCACCTTTTCTCCCTCTGCCTCTATGTCTACTCTGAACATTTCATATAGTAGGATCTTAGGATATATGGTTTTATGTGTCTGGCTTCTTCACTTAGCATAATGAGTTCAAGGTTCATCCATGTTTTCACTTGGACCTTTTTATTTTTCTAGTACCTTTTTATTGCCAAATAGCAGTTCTGTTAGGACTCTGTTAAGTCTCTCTACAAGTTGAGGGACATTTCAGTTGTTTTCTCATTTTGGCTAATATGATCAATACTCGTATGAACATACAGATGTAAGTTTTGGCATTGACATGGATTTTCAGTTCTCTTAGGTATATATGCAGGAATAGAACTGTGTGGCCATATGGTGTCTGTGGTTAACTATGTGATCTGCCAAACTGCTTTCCAAAGTGACTGCAGTGACCTGTTTTTTTTTTGAGATTGGGGTTGCCTAGGCTGGTCTCAGATGCAAACTTAAAGAATCCTTTTGAACCTTCCAAGTGCTGGGACCTCAGGCCCTGCTAGTGGTCAATTTTTTTCTTTTTTAATAACACAGTCGTATGCA